GTTGCACCAGTGCCAGCTACAGAGGGAAAAGAACTGCTTGGCTCTGACTCCATATTCTGCTGCATCTGTGTCCCAGGATCGCATTAGCCCTTTTGGCCACAGCGACGCACTGGGAGCTCGGGTTCAGCTGACTATGGAGGTACAGCACCTGGCACAAAGGGCAAAGACTAGCTAAGCCATTACACCATTACAGGAAGATTGGAGCAAGGGCTTCCCCATGCCCATAGTACCTAATGCCAGGCACCCACAGCACCCTGAGCCCAGGAGGGCAGAAAGCAGTGCTAAAGCCCTGAACACACGGACTGTTCTGGAGCCAGTGGTCTACCTCAGGAGCCTTCCCCATGAGACAGCTTTCACCCAAGGATCTCCAAGCCCTTTACAGACAATAAAGTATAACCACCCCTGTGTTAGCGGTGCAGATGCTGAAAAACAGAGAGGTGATGTGGCTAGTCCAAGAAGATAGTGGACTGCACAATCCAAGCCTTCAAATCCCCCCCAGTGTAACCACTGCAAAACACTCTCCTAGAGCTGGGAATGGAATCCAGGCATCTGGGCTCCCATGCTCACACTCAGACACCAGAGGATTCAGGGAGGCTTCCATTCCAAACCTGCCTTCTCAGTTGCTTTAACTTTTCAGTTCAAACTCAGTTGTTGGCCTTTTTTGGGTCTCCAACCAGGGAAATCCAACGATGCCCCCAGGGGACCCGGGGGGAGGAGGGGAAGAGGGTCATTCAGATATTTTTCACTCCCTTTGCTAATGGAAGGGATACGCTCCCCAGAGCCCACACATTCCCTCTGCTTTATGATTCCCAAGAGCTTGACACTTTCACCACAGCAGCTCAGTAGCCTGGCTCTGTAGCTCGCTCTTTCTTTGGCTTTGCAGCCAGCCACTTGCGCACCGCCTTATGGCACAGGAATGCTCTGGCAAAGGTCTACAAAACAAGCCACAGTAGAGCAGGTACACCACCACCCTGGGCTGACAGATCATAGGAGTCTCTGCAACAGTGACTGGAAGCATGAAGGCAGTGGCTTGATTGCCCTGGAGTTTAACTGCTAAGCAGCTCTGTGCCTGGCTAGCATTCAGAGGGGAGACCACTGGGGCATGAGACTGCTCTAAGATATTGTTCAGCAAAGGTTGGGGACCCCATGGGTTCCTGGCCTCCCCCAAGAGGAAGCAGATTGCCCTTTGGTCCATGGATGCCCTGTCCTGTGCTTGCTTTCTCGGGGCCCCCATGGGTCAAGATCAGACTCATCACGTGGCTACAGGCATCTCTGCCTGAGGAGCACATCCATACAGTCCCGGCCGTCGAGCGGGGCCAGGTGCTGATCCCACTGATCGCAGGTAAGGGGCCGTCACACAGATGCTGACTGCTTGTTTTCTTGGAGCTATTGGCAGCCGGTTCCATTGCTTGACACAGCCGGGCCAATTCACTAGGGAGCAAGATTAATGACAGATGGGCTCCACCGCCCACTTACCTATGGCTGGCCTGGGTGAATCACATCACTTCACATTCCTTTACTCCCCTCACCACCCCTCAGGCTCAATCCAGCCTCTGCTGTCCCCCAACCTCCTGCCAACCAGGCAGCCAGGGATGCAGCACACCCTGACCTTCCAAGACACTCACCCGGGGCCCACCCACCATTATATAAGTGGGTGGGTGGATGAGCTTCGGCTTAACCTAGTTACCTAGTGAACTATTGCCAACACGCAAGCTGTGAACCTGCCAGGACAGCGGGCACCGCACCCAGTGGGGGAGGCGGATAGGGAGTCAGCTGCTGTTCTAGCAACAGTGAAGGGCAGAGCAGGGGACCTGGGAGAGTTTCATCTAGTTATTACAGCTGAGGGCTCTGTCCCCTGGGATGGCTGCTGGCGGTTCAGGCTAGGGGGCCTGGAGTCAGACTTTCTCCCCAGAGCTAACTCAGCCTACTGGCCCTCCTCTCACAGCTCTGCCCCCCTGCAGCCCACATGATATGACCGGCATATCTGGCCTCCTGCTGGGCAGGAGCCCAGGGCTCCAGCGACATTGTGAAGGGGGCAGTCGTGAAGGAGCCATGCATCCAGGGAGTTTCTGGCAGTGCCGAAGCAGACAGCAGAGCGGCCTGCACTGCCAAGCTCAGGATGGAGTTCAAGATCCCCAGATGTGGAGCTGAAAGTCTAGGTGGAGATGTCACTGGGAAGAGGTCTCCCTCTTTCCCAAATCCCTCCTGCTGGTGGAAATCTGCTGCCCAGGACAGGAGGGAAGCCACAGGAGTCTCTCAAAAGTGGGGAAGGGGAGGATATTCTCTGTGAGTCTTGGCCATAACAATCACCACACGTGGGCACCACTCAAAAAGAGGCCTGGTGTTGGAAGATGCCAACCCCATAGCCACCTCTGGCTTCGCCATGGATTCCAGTGCCTCATTTTTGACCCTTCCCATGTGTGGGCGGGACGGTGAGGGGCCAACACGCTGCGATTACCCTCGAGAGCTAGTCTACTGGGACACTACCTATGCAGAGTCCCCAGAACTTGAGCCCATTCATAGCAGTGAGACACGAACTTGCCTTGACCACAGCTCTGGACCATCTCATCTGTGGAACCAATGCTAGCAGCTCTTAGGAAACCAGGGAACAAAGTCATACCACAGCAGCAGGCTCCACATCCCAGCGCATCCCACAGCGCAAACCAACCAACCCTTTCCAGGAGGTCAAGCTACAGTGCCCAAGGGGTGGTGCCAAAGTGACAAAAGATGGGCATGCCAGGCCAGGGCTGAAGCTAGCGGACTCTACAGAAGACACTTAAGCAGAGGCCAGGCCTGCAGGAGGGTGGGGGTGGGTGGGATTTAGGAGCCCAGAGGTCAGGAGATATTCTCTGTGTGCACTGTGTTACGCTGTCAGTAAGGCTAGGGCTGGTCCCAACAAGCTGGGCTGGTGGATCTGCAGCACCGCTGGCAGCCAAAGCACCGGACTAGCCACGTTGCCTGACTAAGCTGCAGTCCTTGGTGTCCCAATGGTGGGAAGAGTGTGACGCTACTCAGCCAAGCGTTACCCTGTGGTCAGGTGTCCACAGAGATGCAAACAGACTGCCCAGGGGGGCCAGATACCATACTTCAGCCCCCCAAACACTCATCACAGTAAATATCCTTAGCCACGCTGCCCCACAATGAGTTCCCCCTCCAACCTCCTGCCACTTGTCCCAACCTGGCCTGGATCTCCGCTGAAAAAACCCAATGCATCGGTATAAAGCCGTCCCAACACTGGGGTAAAATGGACCAGCTTAGAGACCAAACCAAAAACGACACGTGCAGCAGTTGCCCCGCCCCCTGTCTGCAGCCTCTCAGTCCACCCAGCTGTGACAAACTGGGGGTTCTGTTCACACCCCTTCTGAATCATGGCTAATTTTATTCAATTGGATCATGAAATCCCTGGTAGGAAAAAAGCCTCTGGATATGTGGATCGCCCATCAGTCAGCAGGGCTGTGCCCCCACAGTGACCAGTCAGCACCCACTGATCCTCTGTCCAAAGTAAAACATCCCCAGAAGCCAAGAGCTGCTGCTGCTGGGTGGGCGGCTTGTCCCCAAGGCCCCAGCAAAGCAAGCAGCCTCTTCGGAGGGTCACATCCATGCCGTGAACCATGGGTCTGTGTCACACCAGAGGAGGAAAAGGCAACACTACAACACCAGATGCGCCCTGCAAAGGCAGGCAGCCCCCACCCACACCACCTGGAGAGACTGTGTGCTCCCAGCCCAGCATCCTCCAAGCTGGGAAATGCGGTGGGTGGGTCAGGCCTAATCAGGAGAAGCCAGCTGGACCTGCGATAGCCAGTCTGCAGGAGGAGAGATTCCTCCCCTTGCCAAGGCATGCCAGACAACAGCAAGAAGGCAGAAAACCTCTGCTGGCACAGGGGATAGGCCATTGATTGGGCGCTGCTAGGCAGAAACCAGAAGCAGTCTGCAGCTCATTCACCTAAACCAATACGCCACAGATACACTGTCCAGGGCCTGAAAACCGGCTGGAACAGCCCGAGTGTCAATCTAGGACAAGCTCAAGGATTTCGCCCCCCCCCCCTCCGCCGGCCCACGGCCTCTCCCTTCCCACCCATCTGCACTCAGATGGGCCGGAGTCCTGCCAGGCCTGGAGCCGACAGGGGGGAAGCCCCCAGACCGCAGGCACTGGCTGGAAACCCCCAAGCCCACTCCCACGCAGAGGAGGAAGCCTCGCGTATGAATTCCCGGCAACTCTGGGCTCTCTGGCAGCTCTCGCCACCCCGGGAGCCCCCCCAAGACCGCGGCCTCCGCCAGCGCCTGGATCAGCTGCAGACCTGTCCCCGCTCTGTGCGGGGCTCTGCAGGCAGCCAGCCCCCTGACCCACCCTGGGCACAGCAAAGGCGGCCCGTTCTTCCGGCTCCCCAGGCATCCCCCGAAGGGGTCCTGCCCAGTGCCCACCTCGCCGTGCCCAGCTATGCCCGGAGGAGCGTGCCCCGCAGCACCCCCCAGAGCCTGCCCCACACTGCGCCGGCAGCAGCAGCTGGGCGGCCAGCGGGAGCCCCGGACGGCGACCCCGCTCCCACCCCGCAGCTGGCACCCGACCCACCTCGCCCATGGCATCAGCTCTGTTGCTATGGAAACTCACTTTTCCTGGGCATCCATCAGCCCGAACCCGAATTCAACCGCAACCAGTAGCATTTAAAAAAAAATGGCAGCTCCCCAGGCGGAGGGGGGAGGAGGAGGAGCCGGGGGACCCCCCCGGCCCCGCCCTGGGGCAGCCTGCTCCAGCGGCCCCCCCCGGTCAGCAAGCCCCCCCCATGCCTCCTTCCCCGCGGACAAGCGGGCCGCTTGCAAAGGATTTTCCTTCTAGGCAACAAAGGAGAGGGCGCAAAATATCCTCCCCTTCCCGACGCGCTGGCCTCGGGGGGCGCCTTCCCCAGCCGGCACCCCTTTGCCCCAGCCCGGGGACAGCACCGCTTCCCAGCCCCGCTCCCCCCCGGGCCCTGCGCAGCCCCCGCTCCGGCCCAGCCACTTACCTTCCAAGGAGACAAAAATGGCCCTTCGCCTTCCTCGCCCTCTTCCTCCCTGCGCGGCGCGGCCGGGGCGGGAGCGGCTCACTGAGCCTGCTGCTGGCCCGGCTCCATGGCGGGGGTCGGCGGCGGGGGGGAGGGGGCTCGGCGGCTGCAGCTAACAAAGCCCTGGCTCCGCGGCCCCTCCGTGCTCTGCCTCCGCTCCTGCTGCCGCCGCTGCCTGGGCCACCGCGGGGCGAGTGAGCCGCTGCGCGCAGCTCCCCGCCTCCATCCTGCCGCCCTCCCCGCTCCGATTGCACAATAGCAGCCCGGCAGCCTCATCAATATTCATAGCCTGCTGGAGGCTGAGCCTCCCTCCCCCACCCAGGCGAGAGCAATGGAGCTCCTATCTGGAGGCAGGGGTTGGGGGGGAGTTGGCTGCAGCCCCCCACCCCCACTCTGGGTGGGAAAGGCAAACAAAGGGCTTTGCTCTCTGCTGGAGGCCGGGCTGGCTGCACAGGGGCGCTGGGATTTCAGCCCACACAGAGAAAGGGCAACCGTGCCACCCCCACCGGGGTTGCCACCTCTGTGGGCATCCCTCACTTTTGAGGACAGTGTTCTGGGGGCTCCGCACACCTCGCTGTGGGCTCGGGATCATCCCACATGACCCGGTTGCATGCCTACCTCCCAGCTGCCCATCCCTGGCATTGTGACCTGCCGGAGAGGAGGGCCTCAGCTACAGCTCCCCATGGGAGTTTGGAGCCTAAATAGCCTGGGGGATCCAGGCCTTGGCCCTTTTTGCTCATACCTAGGCTTCATTCCTTATGGCAGCCAAGACACTGCTGCCACCCACCCCTGACGTGTGTGCACCCGACTCTGCTCCCCAACACAGCACCTTATGCAATTCAGGCAAAACAGCCCAGCGGCCCCGCATCCAGGCACTCCATCCCTAACAATCTCCCACGCTCACCAGCTGGGACACAATCCCCAGATGAAAAGCACAGCTATGTATTATTGTTATGAACATAAAACCCCCATCCCCACACACACACCCCTGGTACACCCTGCATTGAATGAGCCAAGCTGAGCTGCCATGCTCTGTACTGTAGAGATTCAGGTGCAGTATATTGTAGAAACGTCTCTGAATGTAAACTCCCCCAAGGCCCTGGTAGCCCCATGGACCAGCAATGACATAGAACACCCACAGGCATAAGGCGCTCTCTGAGTAATAGCCTGTGGCAGGAGCATGTCAGATGAGGGGGGCAAGAGGAGGTTTGGCCAGGGCAGTCCTTTGACCTGATGTTTTCCTGCTGCTGCAGCCACCATGGTGCTATGATGGTGGAACATGCACAGGGCTTGAATCAGGCCCTGAACAGCAGAGGCAGCACTGCAGGGAAGAACCCATCCCTCCCCTGGGCATCACTGCTCCCTAGAGGCCATTAGGGACAGGAGCTTTCCAAGGAGCCAGGAAACTGGTCAGTTTTTATAAAACCCAGCCACATTCCTCTTTGGGCCTACACAGCAGCTTCAGTTCCCCTCTGCTGAGGTGCCTCAGAGCTCATGCGCAGGGGGGGAGCCCATTGCAGGGCCCCAGAGGAACAGCTGTCACCCACTCTGACAGGCGAAAGTGGAACATTTTACCTCTTTTTTTCAAACAGTTCCTGTTCCTTCCTGTCACTTAACTAGTCTGGTTTTCCCCAGGACATGATCTGGGTGTCTCCTGGGAGCAGATTTGTTGTTTGCTTGAGTTTGTTTCAATGGCATATTTCATCGCCATTTTATTTTCCAGCAGTGCAGCCAAAGAGTCAGGGAATGTGTCGTCCGTCTGTCCACCCCCCCCCCCACACACACACACACACGCTCCACTGGCTTGGAATACAGTTTGGTGTAGGTTTTTGGTGCCCTCCATGTGCCGAAGCATGAGCCCTTCCCTGTGCAGAGGCGTCTGTATTGTAAGCTGTAACACAAAACAAATAGGTGCGAGGGTGCCAGAGTGCCAGCCACAAGCCACCGGGGCTCTCAGAGTAGGCCCCGGCTGATCAGCAGTGGAATAGTGCACAGCACTTCCATGTGGTTTCCCATTAGAGTTCAGAATGAACACTCAAGGCACACAACTCTGTTTCAGCACCATGGATTGTGTTAGTCATCCATGGATGTTGCAGAATAAATGCAGGCATGTGGCTTGGTGGGATGATGATGTTAAAGGCCTCTCCAGTCTCATCTTTATACTTCCTCCACCTGGCTTTTCCTCTTCAGCTCTTCTCTTTTTCACCCCCTTCCTTGACTCCTTGGTATTAGCACCCCTGGAGACAGCAGCCATGCCTATTCCCAGTGGAGGGTGCTGCTGCCTGTTGGTTCAGGAGCATAACACAGGCCAGAGAATTTTAACTCTTCATGCAGCCCAATACCTTGTGTTTGGCTACAGCATCCTCCAGAAAGGCAGCCAGTCTTGATCTGAGGACATCAACAGAGGTAGAAGCCACCACTTCCCTGAGGAGTCTGTTGCAGTGGTTACTCACCAGCGCTAGTACAAATCTGTGCCTTATTTCTCATTTTAATTTGTCTGGTGTCAGCCTCTGCCTTTCTCTCTATTAGCACCTGGTGTTTTCTCCCTGGGAAGGGTGTTATGTGTTTGTATAGCACTGGGCACAAAGTGTCCAGGACAAGGGCTCTTAGGTGCTATGAGAATACAAAGATTGAATAATAATAATAATACTCACACTGCAATCACATCACCTCTTGAGCTTCTTTTTGACAAGCTGAACAGACCCAGTCCTTGAATAATGTTTGTGGCACTTCTCTGCACCCTCTCCAAGTTTCCAACAGACCGAGGGTCTATCCAAGTTCTGGCCCAGAGTCCCCAGTCATGGGAAGGACAGCTGATCACACTACAGTATTATTCTCACCTCCCTTTCTCCCCCAAGTCCATCTCTTCTAAACAACAACCTGTTAAATGGATGCAGCACACTGCTTCACACTGGCTGGCTGCAGACTCAGGAATGCAGCCTAGTGTCACACAGAAGCTTTTCTCCTTCCCAGCTAAAAAGGGCTTTGCTTGAATGAAAGCTGAAATCTGGCAGGACATACTGGATATTTCACTCCTGCTCCTCCACAGGAGACCTTCATTCAGAGGAGGGCAGGGGCTCTGAGGCAGTTATTCCCACTGGCCCTGGATACAGAAGAACATGTTAATTTTTACCCACTGTCCAAAGCTGAGATAATAGGCATCATGTCAGGGCTCTGCTCACTGCCCGACCCCCCACTGCTGTGGTATGAAGCCAGGAGCTAGTGACGTGGGGATGTCCCCTCCCTGATCTGCTGCTGAAAAACAGACTGAACAACCACTGAAGCCGCTGCATGCTGTGGCTGGACTTCTGGGGAATGTGTTTGTGGTGAAGACTTGCCCAGGGTGGCTCAGATCCTTGTACCCCACTCCTGAGTCAGCAGCAAGGGCGGGGGACACTTCTGAATGACGGATAACGCAAGTTGGAGAGGGCCCAGTTGCTTTTCAACACTGTAAATTCAGGTCTGGTCCTGGAAGGCCCTGTAGATGGCTGGAGATCTGGCAGGGTTACGACGCCAACCAAGCTCTGACTGCTTCAGACTCCTCAGAGTTCTCTCAAATGCCTGCCAAACCCTTGGGGGAAAAGTTCTCTGCAATCCAGCACCCTCTTCCCTCCAGAGAAAGGCTGAGAGAGCTCTACGGAGTCCTCCTGCAAGCTCATCTCAGGCCTTTGTTCACTATCAGACAGCAGTTAAGGACTTGAAGAATCGTTATTTCCTTCGCAGGTCACCTTTCTGGAACATCCCCCTCCAAGCTCACTCTCCCTCCAGGTGGCTGTTGAGCAGAGCTGGGATTTGCGGTTGCTGTGACCTCCCTGGAGATCCCTCAGAGAAACGATGTTTCCAAATCTTTCAGCAAATGTTACATGATTTGACTCTCTCTCAATCCCTGCCTGGAGCACGAAGCCAAATCACAACTGGGCCAACGCAGCAATTTGCAAACGGAGAATAAAGCCAATTGCACATGGGGAAAATGACCAGGAAAAAAATCTTTGTTAACTTCTATGTGTCACCTACCTTAGGGGGAGACACTTGGAGAACGCTGTGCTTCGCTGAGAAAACGCAGAGCCTGTTAACAGATCAAAGATACAGTCTAGTTAGCTGATTTCCCGGTTACTGATGTGATGAATTGGTTCATGATTGTAGAATTGTGCCGTCATGCTGCAAAGGGTTAATGATTCCTATGAAGTGGGTATTTGATACATGGAAAATCACAGACCTGGTGTGCTAAGCACCTTTCTTTCAGACTAAGTGGAAGGAGTAATTAAATGGCCCTTTATATAGCGATAGCTGGAAGCAATAGAAGACACCACCCAAAGCACTAGGCCAGGGGTAGCCAACCTGAGCCGGAGAAGAAGCCAGAATTTACCAATGTACATTGCCAAAGAGCCACAGTAATACGTCAGCAGCCCCCCATCAGCTCCCACCCCAGCGCCTCCTGTGTGCCGCAATCAGCTGTTTGGCATGTGCAGGAGGCTCTGTGTGGGAGGGGGAGGAGCGAAGGCATGGCAGGCACGGGGGAAGGGGCAGGGGCCTTGGGGGAAGGGGTGGAGTGGGGACAGGGCCTGGGGCAGAGCAGGGGGTTGAGCAGTGAGCACCCCCCAGCACATTGGAAAGTTAGCATCTGTAGCTCCAGCCCTATGTCCAGAGTCAGTGCCTATGCAAGAAGCCACATATTAACCTCTGAAGCATGCGGCTCCAGAGCCACAGGTTGGCCACCCCTGCACTAGGCCGTATGGTCTGAGAGGTTTCCTTGGAATTGGTTGCAAATGTGGGTGCCAGGCATAGGTGCTGACTTCTAATGGTGCCAGTGGGTGCTTCATAGAATCATAGAATATCAGGGTTGGAAGGGACCTCAGGAGCTCATCTAGTCCAACCCCCTGCTCAAAGCAGGACCAATCCCCAATTAAATCATCCCAGCCAGGGCTTTGTCAAGCCTGACCTTAAAAACTTCTAAGGAAGGAGATTCTACCATCTCCCTAGGTAATGCATTCCAGTGTTTCACCACCCTCCTAGTGAAGAAGTTTTTCCTAATATCCAACCTAAACCTCCCCCACTGCAACTTGAGACCATTACTCCTTGTCCTGTCCTCTTCTACCACTGAGAATAGTCTAGAACCATCCTCTCTGGAACCACCTCTCAGGTAGTTGAAAGCAGCTATCAAATCCCCTCTCATTCTTCTCTTCTGCAGACTAAATAATCCCAGTTCCCTCAGCCTCTCCTCATAAGTCATGTGTTCCAGACCCCTAATCA